AAGCTTCAGAGCCCTTGGAACGTCCCACAAATTGAGACCTCGGTTTCGCCTCAGGACGACCTCAAAACGAGTACCATCAAACAACATGCGCACCCAAATGCCTGTTTACACCTCGAACCAAGCACCCAAAAGCAACACCTACCCTTCCTCCCATTGACATCTAAGGGACCCGCCACGATTTTCCAAGAGCTGCAGTCGGCTCTCTTTGGTAAAGCAGGAGAGTTTCGGGAGTGTCTTCGCACTTGGAAGTGATTGCATAATTTTGGAGCCCTCTTTGGTTGCTGCTTCCGAGGTTCCGAAAGGAACCCACAGGGTGCCCTCGCCATTCCTGGCGCCATCTCGCCACTGGCCCTCATATTTCTGGCCCGTGGGGAAGATCTGCACGCCGTAGCCATTCTTCTGGTTGTCCCCCCACTCCCCATGGTAACCTCAGACACATCGGTTGCGGGGTTTGGAACACTGCGAAGAAGCTGAAGGCAAGCCGGGGCGCGGGGCTGAAGCGTGCCATGGTAAACCAAGCCATCACTCCCCCCCCCCGCACTAGGGACAACCAAAATCCCATAGTAAGGCCTTACAAAGGTGCTGTTTCCAAGAAGGCCTTGTTGAGGCCTTATCAGGGCCTGACCGAGGGGATGCTTTGGGTGGGATTCTTGGATGGGAAACTTGGGGGTGGCAAAACACATTTCAGCGCACTTGCACCTGTTTGGACAGCTGGACAATTGTTCATATCTTGGGACCTGCACAAAATATGAAAACAATGGAGTATACGAGGGTCAAAAGGTCGATTCGTGGTTGGCAAGTGAGCTTGGCTTTCCCTCAAATAGGGTGGGTCTGGCAATTCAAATGGCTCATCCCACCAAAGTTCGGCTTTGCCGGACTTAAAATTGTTAAGTTCACTGGAAATCAATTGACAAATATATAGCCCCCAGTAAAGGGAAACGTAAGGCAACCGAAGGCAAACCACCAAAGATGGACTTGAGCAAAAACCATCTGAACAATCGGTTTTTGGCTGATGGCAAAGACTATCCTGGTCATCTGGTCATCTGGTTGGCCAAACCTAAGCTGCCTTGTTTGGGGATTACCACTCCACTGTTGTCTTTCTAGAAGGCTTTCCGGGTGTTCACCGGTGTACCAGGGTTTTGACCCATAGCCATCTGATTCCCCATCTTTCAACCATCGTTCTTTCCAAAAACCGGCCGTTCTCCGTGGATTTCCGGGGGTTTTCTAGAAAGAAGGATCCCTGGAAAAAATGGAAATGGAAGCTACCCCTGGAATCCTGGTGGCTGATGTCAAATACTATATCCGGGTTCTTTTACATCCAAATGATTGGACCGAATAGGCTGATTATTATCCTGAGTCCAATTCTGCCCAGTATCCTGATGACCTGAGCAAATACTATTGGCCATCTGATTCACTATTAGAGTTAGGCTCAGATATAGACTGTATAATTTTATTGTTTGCTTCACATGGAGTCACTGATGTAAAACACTGGTGACATGTAAATTGTATCCTAAGTCTACCCCCGGATTCTTTTCACCTCCAATTCGGCCGCGCGGCTGGCGCCCTTCTCCACCTTCCCGGTCTTGGACCCGTCCTCCGCCAGGATCTGCTTCCCGACCTCACGTGACTTTTTCTGAGCAACCGGATCCATCGACACACGCCCGGCTGGCGGGTTTTTTCTCGTTTGCCCAAAGGAAGGGTTGTCTTTTGGCAGGGGGGGCGTGTATCCTTTCGGGATCTTTCGGATCTCTTTCACCAGGTTGTCCAAGAAAAGCTTTCCTTCCGGCTTCCCTTTAAACACCACGTATCCAAGAGAAAGACACATCTGGGCTGTCCGCTTTCAGATCCCCGGCTACAAGTCTAACTTTTAATGGACGAAATGGACACCCCACTAAACACTAAAAGGCGAAAAAGCTCAGGAACCGGATGCCCGGGAACCACCAAGCGAATGAGGCCCCAGGCCTTGGTTGTGGGAAACCAAGGGGCAAGTTCCAAGGTGGGGGAGGCCAGGCTTGGGATCTGCGGGTTCGTTCCCACAGCACTTCAAGGGATCCACTAAGAACCTGCAAGTGACACAAGGTCGGCATTTCTATGTTGGCTGTCCACTGATTGTTTTGACCTGGTCTTTCAGGAGTTGCGGGGGGGTTTGGTGTGCATGGGTTGCACTTCGGGACAGCTCCCGTCCAACTACTGCCCCATTGGGGTTGGAAAACCCCTTTTCAAACAGCACCAGTCTTCAAACGACCATGTCCTACTGTGGGTGCAACAATCCACTTCGGCAAATATATATATATATATATATATATATACATATATATATATGACAAGGCCTGGATGGAAAACTGTAGCTTGGCATAACCATCTGCAAGCTGTTTCAGGCGGCCTCAGTCACTGCAATGTCTGACCTTCCAAAAAAGAAGTGAAACCCACCAAAGCGCCCCGAAATAGAGAAGTGTGATTTGAATTCGCATGAGTAAAATGAAGCCAACAGGTTGAAAAAACGATTAGATGCGATGCGTGGTTTCTTTTCTTCTGCATTCAGTAGTTTCCGACGGGGGGCAAAGACACCAACCAAAACACAGGCCCGAGCTCTTGGAAGCTCGTTGCTTCAAACGGGGCGGGCTGATGCCATCCATTGTTGCTCTTGGTTTCCCTTTCAACACCCCCAAAAGGATACTCTATGATACCCTCCCACAAAACACAAACGTGCTCCCACTTTAAACGGGTCCCTAAAAACACACACTAGAACCACGGGCGGCCCGAAAGCATAACGTATATTTTCACATGTGCCTTGCATGGCGGTTTCTGTGCCCAAAAAAGCGTGCTCATGTCCTTATCTGACAACGTTCACCCTCTATTAATCAAACCCAGTGTATTTCTACTGGGTGGGGGCTCCAAAAGGAATGATTCTTCAGGACACACACCCTTTTAATAGGGGGTCAACATTCATGTTTCAGTGTTGCAGATCTGCGAGTCGTAGCTGCAAGCGCCTCTTTGCAAGCTTCTGGGGTTCTGGGCGCAAAATGTCTCACACAAGCGTTCTCGTGCAAGTTGGCTCATGCAATTTGCTGTTCTCACGTGCAACTTGCTGCGCGCGTTCTCTTGGTGTTCCCTCGTGCAACTCGTTCTGGACATGCTCTCGTGCTTATTGCTTTGCACGCGCTCTCGCGCTTCTTGCTTGCTGCGTGATAAGGCTAACGTTGTTTGCCACAAAATCCCTTCGCAACGCTTTCGGGATAAACAAAGCTGCCCCCCGCCATCAACAAAAAGTAACAAAAAAAGGAACGTCTGGCCAAAGCTTTTCCTAGTCCATTGGGTGACGCAAAAGGGTCCTAGAGTCGCCCGAAGACCTCAACCAGAGTTGGCTTCAGGCCAAGAAGCCCTAAGGAAGATTGACCATGAACCTATTCAGACTGAGCGACCCCAGACCCCCATAGAACCCTCACCCGTTTACCCAGCGGGTCCCTAACATACATTTTCAGACTATTGGGGCACCCGCTTCTGCTCCTTCCCTTCTTCCAAAGGGCCCAGTAGATGGTCCCTCGCTGGCCCGACTTCATGGCCTTCCGGTCGTGGTGTCGCCACAAGGGCTCAGGCCTTCGAAGATTTGGCCGTGCGGAAAACATCCAGTGAAGCCAGGTATCACTCCCCAGCACCCTCCATTCAATTGTTTATCTATCGATTCATGTTGTTTCCTTGGTGGTTTGTCATGGTTACCTACTATATATATATATATATAGAGTGATAACTGGACCCACTGGGAAGGTTAAAGCTGGTGGGTCATTGGTTCGCCCCCGGCAAAAGGTGCAAACAAATGTTGCACACAAGTGGGGACACATTCGTCATGTTTTAACAAAGCTACATGGCTAAAGGTTGATACAAAGATCAACCAATTGCTCGTCATAAACTACTTCCTTTTGCAGCCAACAGGGAAACATCCAACATAACCTTAAGCAAATGGATGTGTTTTATTTGCGTAATGAGGCCCAGGGGTGGTGGGCATAGCCGATCAAAAACTCCGGAAAGCCCCTGAGGCTGAAGACTTGAGGTGGCCACTTTGAGGCGGTGTTCATAAGCCAACTATGGTTGGAAGCCCCTGGAACGCGTTTTCTCCGTTGTGAGATTTCCCGAAGTTGGTGTCCGATCCCGTGGGCATTTTTGTGACTCCAAGGATTGCTCCAAAACCCGAGTCCGATCGTCAGAAGGGTTAAAAGTTCGGCCCTAAGGGGAGAAAGCAAAGAAAACCACGCTGGCTGTCTGCGATTTTTTTCTTCTCCCAGTTTTGTGGCTGGCAAAGCAAAACTGCCGTGGCCTGTTTTGACAGCTTGGAGCCGTCTAGCCATCTTGTGTTGAGCTCATGTCTCTTGGAGACCTACAGTTTCATCGGTGGAATTTGCTTCCAACTTGAAGCAGCTGAAAGAGGGAACGTGACGTGCGGCTGTTCGAAGGCAAGCCCAAGTCTCTGGATCTGCAAATTGTGCGGCCTGCAATAGGCCGGCGTGTCAGCTGAAAGTAGCCTTCCCAGGTAAACCAAGGCGACGCTTGGAATGTGAACTACCAAAAGCAAGCTATGGCGAATCCTGAATGTAAAGAACCCGGCAAGAGGGCGTTTACCGGCGATTCGTGGGTCTAGCAGGCTTGAACTACGGGCCAGTGCCTATACCACTAATGGCAGTGTAAACAAGTTCTGGCGCCTCATAGGGCACGTTTAGTTTAATTCTTTCCCAACACCAAGGCATCTAAAAGCAAGCCCACGATCTGGGCGCACGCAGTGCTCTCCACCCATCCATTTGGGTGAGTTTTGTGAGGTTACCCATTTCAGGTGGGTGTAAAGGGAAACCAAGAGGAATAATTCCATTTTGAGGGTCCCCTATTTTGACCCATGCCCTGTTGGAGACCTTTGCCTTGTTCGCATGGTCTGCTCATCTTCCAGTCCCCTCGTCGGCGAGGAGGGGCTCTCCATCTTGGGAGCACCACCGTCCGAAGAAGCCAAAGCAGCTGCAGCAAAGAGCTCACTTATCCCTACATCAGCAAGAGAAAACTCATCGAACTCGTGGCAACCAGAAGGTGGTGTTCCAGCGGGCTGGACAAGGTACACATTACTACCAGTGGGGCCAGCCTTTACCACCTCCTTAAGGGTTCACTTGTAACACAGGTGGCTTTGAGACGAATAACCCAACAGGAGCAAACATAACCAAACCACTCTTCCACCCATAGGAGTTTGGTCATCCTTTCCAGGCTCATGTTGCCCCTGGACGCGCCGCTCAGAATGCACCCTCATCCTCAGGTAGAAAGCCAAACAGCATGCTTCTGGAACGCACCGATCGAGTGGATGGGCCAAAAAAAATCTAAACTGCTTGTTGACCACTAAAATCAAAAAAGGTTTAATTCCAGGAACTCAGGGAGTGGGCAAAAACGTGCTTGTGGCGAAGCAGGTTCAGTTTGGGCGAAAGAACTCATGTGGCAATGGAAAATTCAAAGGCCGAAGGATTGGCATAGGACTGCGAGGATCATTCTAGCAGTGCTGTGGGAAACCCTTTCAGTCATACAGGCCTGTGGGATTTCCAAACCCTCCTTCTCACTTTGAAGGGGGTTCGTTTGGCAATCCATAGGAAGTGGAATTCCCTAAAGCGATGTCCCTCATGTCAACCAGCCCCCTTTGGCCACCAACGTGGCCCCTTAGGGACTCTCAGATAGGCCCTGAGAACCTTTCTGGTAGGGCCGGCAAATGACAAACCTTTAACCTGCACTCCCTCAACCATCCGGGGTGGAGGGGCCCGTAACAATCTCAAAGTAACCACCCTTGCCAATAGGACCTACTGCCATGCAACGACGGCTGAAGGGGGCGGCTTACGGCCGGGGACAAGTTTTCTGTGGATTTGGCAAATAGGCACCGCTCTACCCCCCATACCAAACCAGCTATACACTTTTTAGCTAGAGGTGTATGAGGCATGCCGGTCCAAAACAGCAGTTCAGACAAGACAGTTCAGACAATGAGTGATCAAAGATTACCTTCTGGGGCGTTCCATGGATGCTTTGGTTGACATGGAACGCCAAGAAACACGTTGTTCAGCAAAGGTTCACGAGATTTCTGGCACATTCGCGCAGGTCAACATGACATTACAACATGTGCAGAAATCGGATTTCGGGGAGTCTCACTTTCTGAGGGGACTGGCCCAAAAAAGTTGGAACTTCCGCCTTGCCACTGACATGGTTCAGACCCAAAAAAGTTTCAAGCGCAGAAACTCAGGAGAAACTGCGCAATGCGACCCGCACTCTCCCAGAAAGGCGTCAGCTCTCGTGTCCGAGAGCGTTCCCGCCGGTTTCCGCCTCTCCAACAAGTCGAGGCGGGAGCTGGGGCGCTTGAACTCCAAGTTGTGCAGCCGGTGTCGAAGCTTCATTGCCATCGCCTACCGCGGGGTGTTGCCGGAAGCAACAGCCCGAAAAAGCCCGCAAATTTGCGGGGAATGGGGTGGATTTGTTTTCTTGGGAACTTGGAAAATCAAATCACCCAAAGGGTTCTGAAAATGAGGGATGCTCAAGTTCCAGGTTTATCTGCAAAGTCCCTGGTAAAAAAGGAAACCCAGGTTACCTAAGAAGCACTTCAATGGAAGCCGGCCAGCAGGATGCCAACGGGGTAGCTTCCAAGCCTTTTCAGGGAACCTGTCAAAATGCTTGGGAGTATCATTTAACATGTTCTAGTGCTCGGGTTCCAGCGCCGAGACAAGCACGCCCTTTGCCAGAAGCAGCTTTAGGGAGGCCATACAAACAACATGACGAGACTGTGCCACCTGGGGCCCTACAATAAGACTTCGAGATGATGGAACCTTATTAATTTTGGAATCGCCCACCTACCACCCGGTGCAGGATTTCGTCCTTGCGAGGGCTAAATGACGACTTACTTCTCCTATGGTCATGATGAATTCATTGGCCGTACGGAACTCCATAAGCCCATAATACTTATGGGCAACACCTTGTAGACATTTGGGACCACTACTGTGACAGGCAGACCTTCCATTTCCCCAAACGGCAAGCCTTCTTGGAGCCAATCGGCCGCTCAGCACCGGCTTGGCCACTTTTCGGGCCGGCCTTTTTTAGAGGGAAATCCACCACGCAGAAAGGGACTAGGGTGAAATCCTAGCTGGGGGCAAAAACAAAACCGTGGGACGCGAAGCAAAAGCTGGACCCATTGGTAGTCTTTCCGGAGACCCTAAGACAAGAAGAACAGGTTGGATTTGGAGCGAGCCACGTTTCAATCATTGGCTCAAGGCGAAAGAAGCAAGGGGTTGGCGATCCAATTCATCGACATCCACACAGGTGTCAAACATATGTGGATCAAATCTCAAGTGAGCCATCACACCTGATCCATCCAATCCCTGGTAGCCATGTCTGAGAAGCAAGCCTGAAAAGAGGAACAAAAGGAAGACTTCATCCCAAGAAGTTGAAAACAGGGAACCCCGCTCCAAAAAACAGAAGCGACGCATGGAACACACAACCCGCCCAGGCAAAAACACGGATTCACTTTGCACCAGCACTTAGAGGCTCTGGGTCGCGAATCGTGTGGTTAGGAACCACGGACCTTGGTTATAGCCCCCAAACCCATAGTTGTAAGTCCCAATCCTGGGTGCAACCAGGGTTAGTGACCATTTCGGCATGTAGAAATTGGTCCACCCCCCAAATGGTACTACATGGTGGCTTTCTTTCTGGTTTCCCGTTGCTGCGCCAAAACGGGTACAAACCCGGCAACTGCAAGAACCACACCACCAGCCAGCGATTGGACCAAACGGGTTGCGGGCTCCTTGAGCTTGATGGGATTGATCGCCGCCGCCTTTGCCACGCCGTGCGCCTACAAGAGTTGGCAGGTGCACATCTCCCGATTGAGTTGGCGGCTCACAATTTCAAGAGCTAGGGCAAACCGCAGGTTTTAGTGTTTGGTTCCATTTACCAAGGTGCCATTTTCATATATGCTGTTGAGCCACAGCCACTTTGAAGAGAAACACTTGTAAGTTATGCAGTCCAACATGGAACCCAGCTCATGTGCAGTCTTGCAGGACCAGGGCAAGTTCCGTTGGATGAAAGGGTAGCTTCTCATGCAAGCCGGTATGAGACAGCAAAGCACACTGGCAATCCTCGGCCGCTACCGAAACAGGGTTTCGCTTCGAGTCAAGTCAGTGGGATCCAACATGGCAAGGTCAACCATAGAGGGCCCCTCAAAATGGGCTCAGGGATTTCTGCAACTGGATCCTAGAACCGCAGCAGCATTTGATTGGCACCCAGTGCTGACCAAGACGGCCATTTCTGTTCGGTCGGTCGGTATTCTCTATGGCCACCTGCAAAGATTCTGGCTTGTGGCACCTGAAGATGTAAGAATCTGAAGGGAATGACCCAGGCATTGGGAATGAATTGGGGGAGTCCCTTGAAGGAAACTATAGGAGATGGTTTACATCGGGGTTATTTTATTTCTCATTCCAATTCTCATGCCTATCGAACCAGCAAGTGTTGCAAGGCAATCGCAGTCATCCCACCCACAGCAAAAGGGCTGCACTCCCAAATTCCCGGCCTGCCAATCATGATCTCTGGTCCTCGATCGGAAAGCTGAAAAAACAACTGCTGTGCGAAGGTGTGTACGTATATGTATATATGTATAGACACATATGCGCCTGTACACGGATGTGTATATATATATATATACACATACGCGTAGATGTACACACTCGGAAAATACATGGCACACGCAGGCACAGGCACGTGGCTGGCCCCTTAGATGCTGTCAAAACCTGAATCACGGTTCAAACAGAAGCCTATAGGGAGGAATAAGTATGGTTTAGAACCAGTCATGGGGCACATCCCTCGCGTAACTGTGCAAGGGCGGCATCTCATCTATTAGCGAAGTGAGACTCAGGCAGGAAACGGGGGGCCGCCAAATGAGGAGAGTCCACCACATCAAACTTCGGCACAATTTCAAAGCACAGGTCGATGAGCACACAAGGTGACAATGTGGCCCAGGGCCCTGAGGTCTTTCACGCACAAGCAAGAACTCTCCTTCGAAAGATTACCTTAACCTTTACAGGCGCTCTCTAGGTTGCATGGCAGCTAACATCAAAAGCGCAAATAGAAGGGGCACATGGGAGCTTTTAGGGTTTGCCACCAGTTTTCAGCGTATAAATGAGGCACAATCCATTGCAACCGAATAGTGCCTATTCGTGACTATCGTGACTATTAGGGGCAATTCATGAAGGACCATGACGAACAGCTTCCAGAGCAGAACGCAAAATTACTTCGTGCAAACCAGGCTTCTTGCCAGTAGGGACGTGGTGTGGTAGTCCCGAACTGTTTCAAGTAGGGAGCAGCAGGAAATTCCCTGGGGATTTACTATGAACACACCCGAACAAGCAACAACATTGTTAAACACACATACGGAAAAGACAGAAAATACAAGAAAGACTCTGCAGACTTTGCCATGGCCTGTCGTTCCCATAAGCTCCACGACCCATTTTTCTTGGTGGTTGGCTTTAAAGAGAAGTCCCGTCAGGATTAAAAAAGAGAGCAACGACACCACAGGCCCGGCGCGAGGGAGGGCGGTGCAAAACCCAACTCGCCCTCGGAACCGCTGGGGCGGCCGGACGAATGCCTGCCAGTGGACCTGCGCGCGAGCGTGCTGTCACTGAGCGTGCGACGAAAGGGAGGAGCATTTATATCAACCTCTTTGCTTCTGGCTGAAGCTTGGCTGGGGGGGAATTTACCTCCCCAAAATAAACGCATCGTGCTTCTGGTTGAAAGGGGAAACAATCATCTACATGTGTATTGGTTGAAAGGGAAAATTGCGGAACACCAAAAAGACAAGCAGTTGAAAAAGGTTTTGCAGCTTCCAATCCACTCGTTCCCACATTGCATTTGCTCATCCCCCCCCCTCCCCCCTGGTTCCTTCGATATATTTTTTCAAGGTAGCCTTACCGCAAGGTTTTGAGGGAAACCATCAGTTTTCGACATTCCCCTCAAA